TATGTAAGTACACCTATGTGTACAATACCTGTGGAGGCCAGAAGAGGGCATCAGATTCCCCTGGAACTGGAGATACAGATGGTTGTTAGCCACCATGTGAGTGCTGCAAACTGAACCTGAGTCCTCTGTAAGAGCAGGCAGAGCTCGTAACTCCTGGACGTTCTCTTTATTCCCTTCACTAACACTTTTATATAAAATTGCAGAAACATTTTAGACTCATTGTTATATCTATCAGTCCTCAAGATAGGAGAATATTAGGCCATGGTTTAATGAAGGCCTTCCTTTAAGGAGTTAAAGAATGGCTCAGTGGGTAAATGCATTCACTGCAAAGCCTGACAACCCACATGCTGAGAACCAATTTCTGTAAGTTGTCTTCTGACTGAAACATAAACACACATGAACAGATCTTGAAGGTTGAGTAGATGCTAACTAGAGTATGGTAGGGAAGAGATGGGGAATATTTCAAGGGAGAACATTTACCAAGAAACTGTAAGGACTGGTGTAACAGGATGCCAGAGCAAACAGGAGTTTGATCAAGATGTGGCTAGACAGTTGGGGGACTGGACTGCACAGCAGTATTTTTCGTCTTAAGTAGGGGATAGTTTTTTTAAACATTGTTATTTTAAATTATGTGTGTATATGTAGTTATATGCACATGAGTGCAGGTGCCCACCAAGAGGCTTTGGATCCCCTGGAGTTGGGAGTTAGAGGTGGTTGTGAGCTGCCTGACGTGGATGCTGGGAACTGAGCTCAGGTACTCTGCAAGAGCAGTACATGCTCTTAACTGCTGAGTCCTCTCTCCAGTCTTGGGATACTGTTTTAAACAGGAACTATAATGTTAGAAGTATTAAATTCATGTTTTGAAGACTGCTTTGAAAAGAATGGATTACACAGCACAAGACTGGATTTGGTGAAGTATGTTAAGTCACAGCTTCAGAAGATCAGGAAGCTGTTTGGAGATGAGGGGTTTGATGACTATCCAGAGGACGGAATTTCTAACTTGGCCTTCTTAAACATACTTTGAATTTGATGGTTAGATGATATCATTAAGTCATCTAAATATTACATTATACATTAAACTGCTAACAGCCTCCTCTGGGGACTAGGGAGTGAGCACAGTAGAGGGACAACATTTACCTTTAATATTTCTGTACTTTTTTTTCCATTGTGAAAATATACAAAGAAAAGTTTAGATACCAAGTATATAAATCTATGAAAATATGTATAAATGTAAGTGGAGAAAGCTAAGGAGTGCCTTGTTTGATGTTACTGGGTCCTGGATTTAACTCTGAAGAACTTACCCCCCCGCCCCCTTCTTAAGATCAGCCTGCAATAAACGGCCAAAGGAACTAGTGTGTGGGATCCAACATTCCTCTAATGGATACACAAATAGCATCAGAAAATGTTTTAATTTATGACTTCAAAGTTCAGTAAATAGTTCAAAAGTCTTAAGTTGTTCTTAGTAATGCTTTCAACATGACAAAAGCCTAAAATGATTAATAGAGAGCTGAGGCTAAACCATGCTTCTCCCTCAAAGCAGCACTGACTACAAAAACCAAGAGAAGCTGGCATGACTTTCCCCAAGGCATTCTACAAACTGACAGCTCTATTGGGACGAAGGGCTGTCTTTTTCCTAAATAGATATAATTAAGTCCTTATTTAGAAAACAAGGCTTAGAAAGGCTGTTTATTTAGAAAACAGCTAAATGTGTAAAGACTGGTGTCCAGTACACAGAAGAAATTTAGAGTCCTGTGCAACAAGCTGTAGTCAGTGAATGTCTAATATACTGAACCATTAAAGGTGCATCTATCAGAATCTTAAATTTAGCCAGCCTGAGGCAGGAGAGAGAGCTCAGCAATTAAGAGCACCAGCAGCTCTTGCAGAGGACCTGGGTTCTGTTCCTAGCATCCATGTGGTGGCTAACAACCATCCTTAATTCCAGTTCCAGGGGCTCTGATGGCCTCTTTTGGCCTCCACAGGCACTGTATGCATGGGTGCACTTATATATGAATGCAAAACATTCATACCCATAAAATAAAAATAAAAATCCAGTCAGCATTAGCTCATGACCACATTCAAAAGTAGACTCTGGACTGTTTCCTTTCAATAATCCATTCGATTTTTGTTTCCCTTATTAAACTGCCTTTGAGTTTCTTTGAGCTCTATACTCCTACTTCCAGTATTTGAGATAAACACCACTTAGAACATTGTGTACTTCTTTCCCCCTTTGTCCCATTTACAAAAATGGGTGTAAAAATATTAAAAATGACCCAGGAGATGAAATATCACACATAAAAAAATCAGTGTTCACTTGCTAACAACAGTGATAAGGTACAAAAAAGCATGAATTCCCAACAACTGGACGGAGCTGAACAAAGTATTCAACACTATCTTACCAGCCAGCAGCTGTTGAGCCCTACAGCCCCACTTGTCACAGATGAGCAATCAAAGTCGTAATCACTTGCCAAGACTTACTTAGCTTTATTTTCTGACTTCTGTGCTTTGTTAAATGAGTGCCAACAGAATATGCTAGAAAGAAGGACTAGAGCTACCTTAGGTAGCTCTACACAAAGATGGAGCACCTTATAATCTGAATGTACAGTGCCACCAGCAGAATTCATGTTGAGATGCTAACCTCCAAGGTGGTGATGGCACTAGGAGATGGGGTCTTTGGGAAGTCATATGAATCCACATGATTGGAGCTAGTGTCATTACAAGAGAGGTCCCAGAGATCACCAGATGAGGCCCTGACCAGATGTACTTTGATCTTGGACTTTCAGTCTACAGAACTGTAAGAGCCAAATTCTGTTGTTTATAAGCCACTCATTCTATATTTTACTATAGCAGCCCACATGCAGTGCGAATTCAAGGTCAAGGAAGGACAGCCAAATCTCCTTGGAAACCATTAGTAAAACAGCAGCTCTCTCTGTATGTCTGATTATCTTCTTATTTTGTCATTCACATCCTTCACGTCTAGCTTTCCCAAGGCTCTGGAACATCACTGGAGATCAAACAGCACACCCTAGAATCTTGGCTGGACATTCCCAAATTCCTGGTACCAAGCTCGGGTACTAGAAGCACTCTTATCTTTTCTTCTCTTTTGTTAAAGAGAAGATCTCACTACATGGCTGAAACTGACCTTGAACTCACAGGCATACACCACAACTCTTGACTTAGGCACTCTCTATTTTACTGACGTGAAGGGAAATTATTTTGATAGCAATGGAAATAAAGTCACAGGCACCATGTTAGTCCAGCCTGGCCAAAACAATGATGATTGCAAATGTTCTGAAGTACTGGGTGTTTTACCATATATATATATATATATATGACTTATATCATATACCTATATAAAATTATAATGAAATATTATGAAGCCTGCCACACTAGACTTTGATGAAAGCAGGCAAACTTGTGCAGTGTGAAGCCAGTGAGAAGCTGGGGTTGTTAATGTAGCTTACTACCCTAACCCTGCATCATAATCAATAGAAAAACAGAAGCTAATATGCTTCTTCCAAATTACAAACCTTCACGAGTGCCCACAGATTACCAAATGATGCCTGAAGGCAGCATATAATGAGGCTGGGGCGATAGCTGAGTGATAGAACACTTGTATAGCATTTTCAAGGCCCCAAGATTCCCAGATACTCAAAAAAATAAAGTTGTCCTACGGGACATCTTTAATCTTAGCACTCGGGAGACAGAGGCAGGTGGCTTTCTGTGAGACTGAGGTCAGCCTGGTCATAGTGAGTTTCAGGCCAACTGGGGCTGCAGGGAGACCCTGTGTCAAAAAGAAAAAAACAGTTGTCGCACACACTATGCATTTAAAAACTCCGACTCTCCTCCAAGTTTTCAAAGCCCTGGAACCTGTTTCCCTTACAGTAGTGATTATAATGTACTGCAACTGGCTGATGACTTATCAGCCTCTCACTGGACTCTAAATGTCCACAAATGCAGCATTTGTCTTTTTTTTTCTTGCAGATAATGTATCTTCTACACTTAATTTTAGAGCCTGGAAAGGTCAGAAAAAGCAATTCTTATTTAGCGAAACATAATCTCTTCTAAAATAAATTCTCAGTCCCTAAATATCCACCTAGCTGTGCTAAAATGCTGACAATATTACTGAAATGCAATCAAGAGTAAGGAGCCATATAATATCCTTCAGGGCTAGGACTAGCTTCCTGACCAAATACTTCATGGGCTTTTAAAGTTTTAAAAATTCTGATCTAAAGTCATAATTTAAATGTCTAGGGAATTTGTAGCAAAAATTACTTTCCAGCATATGTGTGTGTGTGTGTGTGTGTGTGTGTGTGTGTGTACTATGACTGATAGATGGCAGGGGGCTGTGGAGGCCAGAAGAGGGTGTCAGACCCCCTGGAGCTGGAGTTACAGGTGGTTGTGAGCTGCCTGACATGGGTGCTGAGAACTGAACCTGTGCCCATGGCATCTAACAATTATAACATACTCCTAACCATTGAGCCATCTCTCCAGCCCCACTCTTGGGTATTTTAATTGTGGTAGATCCTGAATTATTTCAAGTAAGAAGCAACCTTAGAGATACAAAAATCACTCTCAGCTAGGTATGGTGGCTCATGCTTATAATCTCAGCACCCTTGCAGCTGAGGCAGGAGGATGGCCATGAGTTTGAGACCAGCCTGACTAGTCAGTGAGTCCCAGGTCAGCCTAACTTTCAGGGTGAGACCCTGTCTCAAAAAACTAAATTGGTAACAACAAAAGTCCCACCCATACCTTGCCAGTTTCATGGTATATACTATTGCCCCCCGCAAGACTATCCCAGGCAACACAGTGAGATCCCATGTCAAGAAAATCAAGCTAACAAGAGCAACTATTCTATATCCACTGCATTTTATGCTTCTTGGAAAGTTTAGGTTTCATTAACAGTCTTCCCATTAAAAGAGAGAAAACCCAAGTTACATTAAACAGCATCATTCAAGTTTGAATCTTAAATGTTACTTTAATAGCATCCACAAAGAATCTGATTTAGTTATTAATGGCTTATTTTTATTTTAGAAAACCTATGATCTTATCCACTGTAATATAGAGAACTAGACTTTTATAAAATAGTTTCTTTATGCACATGGATTATCTTAAAATATGAACCAAATTATTCTTTGGTTTTCACCATACGGGAAAAACAACACACAGTCTAGTCATACAACTTTGCCATATTTATATTCCATTGCACAAATATGGGCTATACAAATCAGTAACATGAGTTATTTCTTAAATTCCAAACAGTCTAAAATAGCAGAGGCCTAGGGTATTAAAACATCAAGGCTGAAACCATACTCTAGTTAAATGTAACACTGAAAATACCATATATTTATCTAAAAGAATATTAAATGTGTGCTCAAATGCTCTAACAAACTAGGTAGCATGGCATCTAACAACTACAAACAAGTCACTGTGGTCCATTTTAACATATGCAAGTATTTTTTAGATAACCCTTCCTCTTGGAAATGCAGAATTAAAACATAAAAATACAGATAGATGATTTCGAGAAATTTAAATTCTTCCTAATATGTAAGTTGTATGGTGAAGTGTACTCTTACCTAAGACTTCATACATTCACTAATTCAAATATAAGAGACACAACACTTAGAAAGGAGAAAAGAAGTTTTTTTAAGATAATGGTTTTAATTGAATTAATGAGATGAAAAGACAGTGAAGCCCTGTTTGCTACTTACATGAAAAGAAGGTTTTAAAAAATAATCACTGCACAAAATACAAAGGGTGGGGTTATGCTGTGGTATTAACTTTTTCTCCATGTTTTTCTTGACTGTTCAGGAACAAATTAAAGTTTCCACAGCAAATTTGTTTTCAAAATGTCGGATTGTAAAGCAGTTACTGACTTCACGCTTCTGAATACCTGTTTGGGAAGGAAAAGGTTCTTTATGTTTTTGGTTCTCTGTAATAAATATTCACATCAATTCTCAGTTATTTTTAGATATGTAGAGGTATTCCACTCTATATTCTATAAGCTTCTACAGTTTACACTTGTTCTCAACTAGATGTTTCCATAGGTCATAGCAACAGATAATGATGCCTTATATCCTGCTTGCAGATTCATGAGTGTGAAGGTTTGGGAAATGCTGTGTTGTGTAGCATGGTTTTAACATGGCCATATGTGTTCGAGGAAATACAGAACTGCACACCAAGAAAGGCAAATTTCATTGTATCGCTTTAGTTTTAGAAAAATTACAAACCAAGATGACAGCTTTTAAATATAAGAGATCAAGGGTTAGGTTTCGGGTGACTCAATCGGCCCAAGAACAGTGTGATTACAATATAAGTAGAGGTACTGGGTGACACAAACCCACGCTGTGTATCCGATGGTACTTCTGACTCTCCACAGGTGTCACACATTTTCATTTTATATTTGTGATGGAAAGGCAAGGGGGCATACTGCTATTCTTTTTTTCAGGGGAGAAAAACAAGTGATTTTGCAAAGCTACATTAATTATGTCACTGCTTTAACTCTTCACCCACATTCCTTTCTAAGTAACCTATGATTATTCTCAGTGTGATCCAAAAGGTAAATGGTCCACCAGGAATCCAGGTCTCTAAAAATCCAAGTGAGAGACCTCTCCAATGAGACCCCCCCGCCCACCACAGCATGGCTGGGTTATAGTGGGGACAAAAAGTCAGATTAGGTGCTGCATGGGAAGTGAGGGGTTAGCATCTCAAGGCAACTGCATCTTACGCTGACCTTTCCTATCTGAAAGGACTGGATTAGGATTAGGATGATGCACTGACAAAGTGACCTGGTATGGCAGGAATACTTCTGACTATGACTAAGAGTCATCCAAAATGTTTGACAAAACGAACTTCTCTGCCAGCATCCAACATTACACAATACTACCTTTAATGGTCTCTCTGCGCTGCAGTTTGTATGTTTCCTTGTCGTGGCACAGTCGATAGATGAAGAAGCCCAGGTGATCAACGTTTTCAATGCGGTCAGTAATAACCATGTGCTCGTGAATAAGGTACGACTGAGGCAGATAGGTTCCAGCCTGTATTTGGAAAATGTTACACGAAAATTTCAAACACACACTAAATAAACTAGAAAAGCAGACAAAATTCTTAGATGGTAACTTTAAAGAGGGTTTATGGACTTTTTAACCATTTGTTTTTATAAATACAGTTCTGGTCGCTGAGTTTGGGGGTCTTATTCTGTTACCCAAGCTAGTCTTAAACTCCAGGACTCAAGTGATCCTCCTGCTGCATCAATAGGCTAACTTCTCAGCAGGAAGTCCCAAATACTGTGGCATTTGTAATCAGAAACTAAATGTTTTTGTACCTTGATGTTAATAAGTAGCTCCAACAGATTTCTGGGGGGCATGACAATGGATGTATTCAGAGGGATCACATAGCACTTGTCCAGATTCAGGTCTAAGTAGGCAGTGAGTTTCTGGAAAGAAAAAGACACATCTTAGATTAATATTTCAAAGATACACAGCAACTGGATTTTTAAAAACGGTACTGTTAAAATGGGCTGGCTTTAGAACCTACAAATCACCTACATTTCAACAAATGAAGAGCCTGGTGAGTCAGGCAGGCAAGGCAAGGGCAGAACTGCAGCAAGGCGTGTGAGGGTCAGCACTGTACTCAGGGCCCTAAATCCAGTGTTTGATTTATTTTGTTTGAGACAGAACATTGCCACACAGACCAGACTTATGATCTGGCCTTCAAACTTGTGACTGCCCAGACTCAGCCTCCCCGGTGCTGGGATTGAGAGGCATGCTTGAGTATCTAGAATAATTCAGCAAATACTGAAACTGAAGCTACAAAAAGCATGAAAAACCTTCAGCTTCTCACAGTTCTGAACATTTGGCTTACCTTGTTAAAGTCATGGACAATGTTGGCGGGATCGCTGTCTGCAAACTCTGGTACAGGCACACTGATGAACTCAACCTCATCCTCTTCAAAGATCTTAATATTCTCTTCAATTGTCTGGTAGTGAGCAGCTGGGGCATCTGCAGAAGGCTCATTCAGGATGACGTCGTCTTTGATGTACTTCAGTCCGCAGTAGTATACGTCATCTGGCTACAAAGTTGAAAACAACCATTTTAGCAATTCAGCAGGAGACGGGTTTTTAAATCTAAGCCTTAGTTAAGCTGCCACCTCCACCTAAATAGTATTTTGCTTACGAACTCTTACTTTCAGATGACAAGCCAGACAGTTTAATTACAGAGTTAACACATTCTTTAAGATCAAGTTCTGAAGTTTTTTTTTTGTTGTTATTTTTTAAAAAAGGTTTTTCAGTAGGAGAAAAGCAGCTGATTTCTCCTTTACTTCTTGTGGTAGCTAAAAACAGAATATGAAAGCAATTACCCATCTGGGATAAAGTAAATTTTGACAAGAAACACACAAGCCTACTTCTACCTGTAGACAGTTTTTTGTAATGTTTTCCTTTCTCCTGTTTTTTCATCTCTGTAGAACTTTTAGACCGACTAAAAAGCAGAGAAATGCAGTGCCACTATATGCTGGGCCCAAGAGCAGCAGGCTGCTGTGTAGGTGGTTCAAAGTGGCTATCAAATGATGGGTCTATTAACGTGACAATACTTGTAGTTAATATACTTATTCAAGTGGCAATTCATGATACACCTTTTAGTCATTAGCTATGGTAGAAAAATGAAAGTTAGTCCATTTTGAAAAATTATCCAACAGTCTAAACTCCTTCATCACATAAAAGGGAAGAACCAAACGACACAAGTTGTCCTCTGACCTCTACGTGCTAACCCTAATCTTAATCTTACCCAGCCCTACAGATAAATAAATGTAATAAAAATTTTTTAAATAATATTTTTTTGTAGCCAGGTGTGATGGCACATGCTTCTAATCCAAGCATTCAAGAGGCAGAGGAGGTGGATCTCTGAGATTGAGGCCAGCCTGGTCTACATAGAGAGTTCCGTTAGCTAGGGCTACAGGGAAATCTGTCTCAAAACAAACAAACAAACAAACAAAACAACAACAAAAAGGTATTTTTCTACTTACCTGAAGTGCAAAATACTTGTACAGGTATGCTCCCCCTAGAATGACGCCGGCAAGCATGAAGGCCAGTCCAAAGCACATGCACCAACACCAGGCTCTTCTCTGTCCAACTGGAACCACATCATCTGGGTCCTAGAATGTGAGAAGGCAACCAAGTCAGTATCTATGTTGAAACAGAGTCACAAAAGGCTTGAGATATAAATGAAGACAAAGACCAAAAGGACTCAGGTCTCTGATCTAAATGTACCCAGGAATGGGGAAGTGGTGGCAGCAGTACTCACCCCAAAGCTCTTTAGCAAGGGGACCCTGGTCCCCAGGGAGACATATCTATCTATGGACAGTCTACTCTCTATCTCTTAACATCCTATCTATTAACAATGCCATGAGCAGTAATGCACACCATAATTCCTATTTTCCAGCACAATTTTTGGGGTTATCTTCTAACATCTGAAGTTCAGAAAAGGTTACAAACACAACCTTGTCCTTCAATCTCACAAGGCTGAACCTTATGTATTACAGGTTTGGGACATTTCCTTATTGGATCATTTATAAATCTGCTAGCCTCCACAAGTAGATTTATATATTTCATACTGTATATAAAACCATTCCTAACAATCTATAAGAAAAACAGGAGAACAGCAAAAGAGAGTAAAAGGACACTAAAATTCTTCAATTAGAATCTAAAAAAATCAGGGCAGTTATTTTCCTAGAGATAAACCATTATAATTCCACACAAATCTTATTCTGATAATGTTCTTTGTGTGTGTGTGTGTGTGTGTGTGTGTGTGTGTGTGTGTG